TTAATAACCCCATATCATATATCATGGTGTAGTGGTTATGGTGAATACGATGTTGGACAGTTCAGTTGCTGTATACACACGTTTAGCAATAGAAGAATTATTTAAATAAAGAAAACTTGATTAAAACGAATGAACTTGAAGAAAATAAATTAGACAAAACAATTAAGCAGACATGTCACGCAATATTTTGTTCACATTCATCATAGATGAGCATAAGGCAATTCTGCAATGTACGCACCTGTGTCATATTTGTCCACTGGGCCTCATTAATGCTCTTGTCTTGGTATGTATTCTAAAGCCGCAGTTGTTGATATCTAAGTTAATTTAAGAGCTCTATAATATGTATACTCTGCAAAAAAAGAAACGCAAAACGTCGTAGAGGCGTACGGATCGCGCTGTCGTCTAAAGCGCCGTATTCGATGTGGATAGTACGTCCCTTATAGTGAAGTAGTGTGCCAGAAACTCATGATCTTGTGTCTGAATCCCAGATTAGCAATGATTATGTGTCTTCATTTGTCAGAACACACATCAAAGAGGTAAGCGTCAAAGATCGTGAAGCCTAACATTGTCTCGCTCAGTATTTCTCAGCAAACTGAATGTACTAGATTGGACAAGTTACAACATTCAATGCCTCAGTAAAGCTTTCAAAAAGGTTGATGGAACATGTGGGGGACACTTCCATAATTTAATGCATCAGTGACAAAAATGATGTCCGATGCAATTCTCCCGTTTGACTCGTACCAAATTACCGTGTTTATTGTTCAGTTTGAACAATTGCCTTGCCTTTGCGTGTGTAAGTGGCGGGTGGGGCAAGATAAGCTCACCTGGTATTTTCACTATGTGATAGAGATTCATAAACACTCGCTCGTAATATATTTGGAATCGTACAATTGATGTTGATTTTAGAAGAGATTTCTTAGGAATATGGAAAGGATTTTGTCACTTTTATTTAAGTCACTGTTCCAGAAAAAAAGTGTCATATAAACCAAGTTATCATATATTCGCAATAACTGAGTAAACTTGTCATCTATACGTTTGTTCAATCCATTTTACATTCCAAGAGTGAGTGAGTGAGTGAGTATGATTTTACGCCGCTTTTAGCAATATTTCAGCAATATCACGGCGGGGGACACCAGAAATGGGCTTCACACATTGTACCCATGTCGGGAATCGAACCCGGTTCTTCGGCGTGACGAGCGAACGCTTTAACCACTAGGCTACCCGACCGCCCCTTACATTCCAAGAAAGAAGCTTAAGATGTTGTCTTTCTCATGTACTTTGTCCTCGGCCACTCCCGATCCACTGGCCTGTTGCCCGTGATGGTAAGGACTAACTACCTCTGGCTACCATCTTAGATGCTGTTAAATCAAAGGTGAGCACTCGCCCTTTCACCACAGTGCAGTCATACTTGGTGTAGTCTCCTCTAGCACTGTTTATCCCTATTGTCTCCAAAGATACTTGGTCTAGTAGTTGAGCGTCCGCCCGGAGGGTCCTGGGCAGCGTCATACCAAAAGACGTTAAAAGATCGTAATTGTTGTTACCCTGTCTGGCGCTTAGCATTAAGGACTGGTCGGCTCGGAGTCAGTTTACTGTGTCTGTGTGGCGTATTCACATTAAACTGTGGCATGGTTTCTCAGTGGGTTAGCACTATAAAATCGGCATCAGTCCGAACTGGTACAAGCAGCCACACACACACACACACACACACACACACACACACACACACACACACACACAAAAAAAAAAACACACACACACACACAAAAAAAAAACACACACACACAAACACACACACAAACACACACACAAACATCTTGGACGCGACGTTAAACCCCATTCCACCCCACCTCACCTAATTCACATATAAGTCATAGAATCTCTGCACTTGTACACAGCAGCAAACTTAACACTTCGGTTTTATTTGTTTCAACATCAGTAAAAGCGCTATGGCGTCACTGGATTGCCTGGTCCATCGAGGGGGCACGGGTGGCCCAGTCGTCTGAGGCGCCGCGATTCGCTGTGAAGAGTTGCGTCCCTTGGGCACGCCAGAAACCTATGATTGTGAGTTCGAATCCCGGTTCGCCCCGATTATGTTTCTAGGTTAGTCAGCACCATACCCGTGCTCGTGGGTTTCACCGAAGTGGTAAACGTCTGAGACCTGCATCACTTCGGGCTTTCCTCCCACATTAAGCTGACACGCCGTGATATAACTGGAATACTGTTAAAAGCGGCGTTAAACCCTACTCACTCACTCACTCTGGTCCATCGATCACTTGATTGTCTGGTTTATTCACAGGCCGCCGTCGCAAGCTGTTGTGCCACGTCAGGCCTGTAATTTTCGTAGGTTATTTTTACCTACAGGTAGGGCAGGACATGCTTACCCTTTTTGCGAACATCTGGTGTCATCACATCTTCCCGAGGCAAGGGAGTTAACTGACTATAAAAGTCCAGTTTCCACCCTTGCCGAACTAGGCTGGTATTACGGAGTTACATTTTGGCTGGACTAACGAGTCTACGCATAGTCCAATCAAAATCGCGCACCGAAATCGAAATCCGGTTCGTTAAGTGTCATGCAGATTTCGGTCGACTGCAGGATTTGCAAAGCATGTGCACCGCTAACTGCTGTCAACAGATATTTTCTAAATCTTTTCATGTTTTTAATCAAGGTGCTCTCGTGATTTGATGCACTTAGCGATGTAAGACTCGTTTTATCACAATATAGATCTTGATTATCGATCAGATCGTCTTGACTGGGCGCCACCGTTTTGTTTGAAGCAAATGCAAGTGATACGAGAGATTGAATCTGATTGGTCAGTAGGAGAGGCATAGAAAGGACATAACTCGCAATAGCCACTGGTGGCGCTACGATCGAGCCTACGAATTCCAGCCTAGTTCGGCAAGGTTGGAAACTGGACTTTTAAAGTCAGTTAACTCTCTTGCCTCGGGAAGATGGTGTCACCACTGAGGAATATGGAAAGGATTTTGTCACTTTTATTTAAGTCACTGTTCCAGAAAAAAAGTGTCATATAAACCAAGTTATCATATATTCGCAATAACTGAGTAAACTTGTCATCTATACGTTTGTTCAATCCATTTTACATTCCAAGAGTGAGTGAGTGAGTGAGTATGATTTTACGCCGCTTTTAGCAATATTTCAGCAATATCACGGCGGGGGACACCAGAAATGGGCTTCACACATTGTACCCATGTCGGGAATCGAACCCGGTTCTTCGGCGTGACGAGCGAACGCTTTAACCACTAGGCTACCCGACCGCCCCTTACATTCCAAGAAAGAAGCTTAAGATGTTGTCTTTCTCATGTACTTTGTCCTCGGCCACTCCCGATCCACTGGCCTGTTGCCCGTGATGGTAAGGACTAACTACCTCTGGCTACCATCTTAGATGCTGTTAAATCAAAGGTGAGCACTCGCCCTTTCACCACAGTGCAGTCATACTTGGTGTAGTCTCCTCTAGCACTGTTTATCCCTATTGTCTCCAAAGATACTTGGTCTAGTAGTTGAGCGTCCGCCCGGAGGGTCCTGGGCAGCGTCATACCAAAAGACGTTAAAAGATCGTAATTGTTGTTACCCTGTCTGGCGCTTAGCATTAAGGACTGGTCGGCTCGGAGTCAGTTTACTGTGTCTGTGTGGCGTATTCACATTAAACTGTGGCATGGTTTCTCAGTGGGTTAGCACTATAAAATCGGCATCAGTCCGAACTGGTACAAGCAGCCACACACACACACACACACACACACACACACACACACACACACACACACACACACAGAGTCTATGAAGATAGACTTTTTATAACTTCAGGGGCGGTCGGGTAGCTTAGTGGTTAAAGCGTTCGCTCGTCACGCCGAAGAACCGGGTTCGATTCCCGACATGGGTACAATGTGTGAAGCCCATTTCTGGTGTCCCCCGCCGTGATATTGCTGGAATATTGCTACACACGGCGTAAAACCATTCTCATTCACTCACCCTGATAACTTCGTGCTACTCATATGGTCACGTGACCGGACCTCTGTTGTCGTCTCTGGTAAACCACAGTTTGCAGGTAGACTAAATGTTCCAGGAAGATGTTGTGATTCACTTAAAAAATGTATTATCACACTTTTCTTTATGAGTATCACAACAATCAGGATCAATAACAGACAATATTAATTATAGATTTTCCAAATGTGTTAGTTTGTGAGTCAAATCCTTCTGATACTAATCACGTTTTTAAGTTATCATCATCTGCTAAATGTCTGAAATTAATATTATGTTAAAGGTACTTACTTAGACTTAATTCGAAAAAGATATTAGGAATATTCCCAGAACCTGGAGAGAGACTGGTGATACTGTCAACGTAAGCCAGAACTCCGGAATTAATAAAGTGTTGCCGAATTTAATTACACCCTCAAAAGGATGCAGACTTTTTTACGACATACTTACGAAAGCGCAAAGTGTACCAGCAGTATGTGAAAAATGGGAAAACATTACCGATATTATACAACCGTGGTATTAGAAGATGTACAACAGACACTTAGTTGCTCGATTTTCAATACATGTTTATTCGCCACATAGTACAATCTCATTAAAATCAGATCTATGACCGACCACTGAAACTACTAACAAGAAGTCGTCATCAGCCAATTAGAAAGCAGTTTTCTCGAGCTTCACGGCACTCGTTTCAACCTGGCGACTTCAATTTCAGACTACGCTTGAAAAAATATGTTGACACAGTTCTCGATTAAAATTTCGAAAACTGAACAAAAGAACATTCCAGAATGTCTAATATATGGGTGCGATTGTATAGCAGTGTTTCCCACATACTGTGCAACGCCGTTCAAATGTTTATCCCACTGAAGTGAGAGATAGACGATAATTTTGACGGAATCAGTCGTACGGGCCGTAACAGTCGTTCGGAATACCCCGTGTTAACGTTTTCGAGGTTGCGTGATTAGAAAACCCATTCCGACTGTCACTTTCACGATCTGGTAAGCGACGCTTTGATTGGTCGGATGAAAGGTCGTTCTGACGTGACCCGTAATGGGATGTCCTCAGATCTTTGTTCAGCGTTAGTGAGAACTAAGACCTGATTATTATCAGATTGCCACACAGCATATATTAAAAATTAATTACAAAAGATGAAAATAATAGATAAAAATATTTGTACTTTCTGTGGGAATGAGCCGGAGAATAGAAACACCTCTTTGTTTCCTATGAGCACGTGAAGCAATCGGACTGAAACGATCCGACTCTGTTTATTACAGGCACCTTGATATCAATGTTATTTTCACTGACTTTGCAATACACACAAGGAATTAACACCGGCCATAATTTCTTGAATAATAGTATGTTAACTGAACAGGTATATCTACATCTCCAGTATTAAAAACAATAAACTTACCTTGGGTGTATTCTTAAGAAAGATTTAAGATATTGTTCACGTGGAACACTTTATTACAAGAAAGTCTGAGGGAAAAAGGCCAACGTAATTACTGAAATACTTTAATAAGAAATAGTTGCTAGGGATGTAAATAGGCATTTATATTCATTCTCCGACCAATATTACACTTTGTCCTTATGTCAAGAAATATGATTTTTTTTCTGTACAATTTTTCGCATCTTAAAGTCACATACTTATCCTGACAATGCACGTGAAAACAAATGTTCCTTACCATGTAAGATGTAGCATCCAACTGGAATGAATTAAAAAAATGATAAAAATGACTGAAATAATCATCAGTATAATCACCAAGTTGTCCGGTTCTATCTTTTAATACCCCACAATGTATAGTCTCTACAGGTGGCAAGTCAGCCGCCAATTCAACATACGAATCTAAGTCTGATCAGTGCAATGTTTCGAACTCTTATCGTCATACCGTCAAGACCCTCTCGTTGAACATCTGAAAAGATACGTTATACATGTTTTCTTCACATGAGAACAGATTATTGTCAAACAACGTGAAAATAGGATTTTAAAAATTTCGAACACATTTAATACATTTTGAAATATGATCTCGTATAAACAATAGTTAAACCACTCATCATTACAGATGTAAAACCACCCCTTGTAGTTGCGACTTAAAAAGTACTTTTAAGTAGTTCCGAGTTTCCAAATCTAAAAAAATATATATAAAAATGCAATAAAAATATTTGAGTTCAATAAAAATTCTTATCATACATTTGGATATGATCATATAACAGATAAACTAAAAACAATCTTGAAAGCTACGTGACTGCTGTAAGAAACGAAGGAATGCACGCTGGTCAAGTAACAAAGGTGGCGCTTTGCGAAACGGTGCGGCATAGTGTCATAGTACGCCGTCATAGTGTCATAGTACGCCGTCAAGGGTCATAGTACGCCGTCATAGTGTTAGTGCGCCGTCACAGTGTCATAGTACGCCGTCAAAGTGTCATAGTACGCCGTCATAGTGTCATACTACGCTGTCATAGTGTCATAGTACGCCGTCATAGTGTCATAGTGCGCCGTCATAGTGTCATAGTGCGCCGTCATAGTGTCATAGTACGCCGTCAAAGTGTCATAGTACGCTGTCATAGTGTCATAGTACGGCGCCATAGTGTCATAGTGCGCCGTCATAGTGTCATAATACGCCGTCAAGTGTCATAGTACGCCGTCATAGTGTCATAGTACGCCCTCAAAGTGTCATACTACGCTGTCATAATGTCATAGTACGCAATTAAAGTCTCATAGTACGCCGTCATTTGGGTCATAGTACGCCGTCACAATGCCACAGTACACCGTCCTAGTATCATAGTTCGCCGCCATAGTGTTACAGTACGCCGTTAAAGTGTCATAGTACGCTATCAAAGTGTCAAAGAACGCCGTCATAGTGTCATAGTACGCCGTCATATTGTCATAGTACGCCATCATAGTGCCAATGTAGGTAGCCATAATGTAAAAATACGCCATCAAAGTGTCATAGTACTCTTTCAAGTGTCATAGTACGCCGTCAAAGTGTCATAATACGCCATCAAAGTGCCAAAATACGCCGTCAAAGTGTCATAGTACGCCGACGACATAGAATATTCATCATGTTTTGAGCCACTAGTTTCACAAATCAAGACTCGGCTGTCGTCAGTTTTCACGTTCAATGTGTCTCTGTTACTATGGCAACAAAACGTTGGCCCTGAACGTTAGTAATGAGGTAGATGATGGAGTTGTCGTCATGTTAAGGGCTTCCAGTTTGTTTTGGTAAAACATAGCTTCTTGAACGTGACCCTGGACTTGACATTTGTTTCGCAGACGTTACGTTTAGGGGTTCCTTGTTGCAACAAAACATCTTTTTGAACGTGGCCCTGAACCTGACGTTGGTGACGACGTAGATGATGAAGTCGTTGGCGCTGTTGATGGTCCAGCCGAGAGACGAGAAACTGCTGAATAGTTCTCTAAAATTGCGTTCTGTGCCCACACGGGAAAATCGTGCTGGATCCAGTGTTTCCAGAACATTAACTGCAATAAGTGGAATGTAAACTATCAGAAAAAACGTAGAAATTATCATTAAGGTCAAGGTCACTTTCCATTGCTCATCTGATACCGTACCGAAGAGGGACTTGCGTCGACTTCTGATGACAGATAATTGAATCCAGATACCAATGTTAAACACAAGAAGTAGGAACGGTGGGATATACGTCATGACAATTTTCAGGACGAAATTGATGTAAATTGTCATGAAGGACTGCAGTGGCTCGTTGTAGGCTGTAGGTTCTCTAACATACATGGATACGTTAAACGGTCGGCTGAATCTCCATACAAAGCGTATCAGGAATATGCGTGGAATATGCAAGATGAATATGATGACAAACAGAGCTGCGGTGAGTTTTCCAGAATGACGGACGAGGAACAAAGTCTTGACCTTGAGCGGGAAGGATATAGCTATAAGTCTCTCCAGAGCTAAGATACAGATAATGTAGCACGACACTTTGGAAAAGGCTCTTTCCATATATTGCCAAACAGGAATAACCAGCACAGATGACAGGTAGCTTGCATACACAACGTCGTACTCTCTTGATATATGCGTCGGCATGTGCAGGATGCCACAGAGAAGAAACCCACAGTCAGCTATTAACAGACCCAACAGGTAATGATAGGAAGAGTGACGTAACGACTTGTGGAGAAGTACACAACATCCGATGACGTTCATCACAAAACCGGAAATACACAAGATTGGTTTAAGAATTAGATTAATGATGAATGTTGCTTTTCTCGACACTTCTGCGCTGACTAATCTGGGTACATTGTCAGGTGGTGTCGGACGAGTGACTTTCGGCTTGGTCTGGGTAACATTCGTCAATGTAGACGAGTTTGTCCTTGTAGTCGGTGTTGGCGAGTGGGTGCTGTGGTTTATCGTCATGGTCAAGGATTTACTCACACCGTCGTCCAAGGCGAGAGACCATTCAGTAAGTAAAAGTGTTGAAAGGACTGATATGCTGATGTACAGTGCCCGCATCTGTAACAGAAAATCCGTGTTGATAGTTACTTCGAGTGAGTGGAGTAATACAGTTCTAATGTGTCCTGTAGCGGTAAATTGAAGATAATTTCGCAAACTAGCCAATTTCGAGGATAATCAACAAACTGCAAGTCCCGAGGCTTGAGCTCAATCATTAATTCACGGGGGACACATAATCCAGTCAATTATTTCACACCAAAAATAATTTATTCGTGAATTGGGAGCATGGCCTCGACGTCTAAGCCGCCGCAATTCTCGGTGCAGAGCTGCACACCAAAACCTTTGATCGTAGGTTCGAATCCCGGTTCGCCCCGACTATGTTTCTAGGTTTGTCAGTACCCTACCCGTGCCCTTAGGTTTCACCAAGTGGTAAACGTCTGAGACTTGCATCACTTCGGGCTTTCCTCCCACGTAAAGCTGTCACACCGTGATATAACCTGGAATACTGTTCAAAGCGGCGTTAAACCCAACTCACTAACTCACGTTATTCACCAATTAAGCTTAAAACAAAAACTACTTCGTCTTGCCCAAGTAACATAAGTGTGTTCATTAGATAACGGGAAACTTTATTCACCTCCGCCATAAACGGATAACTTGGATCCGCCCATTAAGACAATGACGGTAACTAGGACATGGGGATGCCGCTTTCATTGGATAACTTGAATCCGCCCATTAAGACAGTGACGTTTACGCGGACATGGGAAGGCTGCTCTCATTGGATAACTTGGCTCCGCCCATTAAGACAGTGGCGGTAACTAGGACATGGGAAGGCTGCTCTCACTGGATCACTTGGCTCCGCCCATTAAGACAGTGGCGGTAACACGGACATGGGAAGGCTGCTCTCATTGGATAAGTGTAATGGTCATGTTATAACGATGGTTGCCGTGTCAAAATTATTGTCTTTTCCTGTATTAGATCAAACATGTTCGAGGTTTGATTGAGTACCCGGTTTGGTCATGGAAAACTCCTGGTAATATGCTCAGACGGGTCAGATAATTTTATGAGAGTATTTAAGCAGCGAGGCAAACATACACAGTTCCAAAACTCATAAATCTACAATGTTCATCTTTTCTCTAGTTGATATATGGATGTTCGGCACATATGCAAATATAGAGGTTACTTTTTCCAAGTATCTGAATAGAGGATATTTCTCTTTTCTTGTCGAATAACATATTTATCACAACAGGTGACCTGGCAATGTTTCTACTGTATGTGTGACTCATCCATGAGTGAAAACATCATCTTTGTCGGGTCACAAGTTGAAACAAAAATAATATTTGAAAAGACAAATGATCTACTTCTTATGTATTTTCAAACACGATCACGCTGAATAACTGAGTGTCACTGAAACCGACTGAAAGGAGTTTCGGCCTTTCACTCGAGTGAGGTATCAATTTCATTGTTTCAGATAAATGCACATATAGTATCCATCACTTAATGACAGATACAATATCAATGTCTACCCAACAAAATGAAAAACATCCACCTTTTAAATTGTAATGTTGCATTCATACTGAAACATCTTCCCGAGGCAAGGGATTTAACTGTCTTTAAAAGTCCAGTTTCCACCCTTGCCGAACTAGGCTTGAAATTCTAGCGCCACCAGTGGATATTACGAAGTATGTCCCTCCTACTGACCAATATTCCACTTCTCATATCACTTGCATTTACTTCAAACAAAATGGCGGCGCCCAGTCAGGACGATCACATCGATAATAAAGATCTTTATTGTAATAAAGTGCGTCTTACTTCACGAAGTGCAATAAATCACTCGAGCACCTTGATAATAAATGTGAAAAAATGGAAAATATGTTTCGACGCCAAGTTGAAGGTACACGTGCTCTGCAAATCCTGTAATCGAATGAATTCGCCATAGCGGTTGCCATGTTGTTTCTGAACCGGATGTCGATGAAGTATTTTGATTGCATAGACTATGCATAGACTCGTTGGTCCAGCCAAAATATAACTCCATAATTCCAACCTACTTCGGCAAGGGTGGAAACTGAACTTTATAAGTTAGTTAACCCTTACCTCAGGAAGATGATTTTGAAAGGACTTACTAAATTGCTTATTTCCAAATTAATATAAAGAGGCATATTATCTTCAACCAACTCAAAATAAAATAACCCAGTAGTTTTTTTTCTCCTAATTAACCCGATTTACTTTTGAAAATGTGACTAGTTGCACAACCATTGCCCACAGACACACCCTGAAGAATGTCTGAATACTTCCAATGTTTAGCTGAAGACAAGCCGACCCTGTGATGCGGATCTTTAGATAGATGTTTTCATGCGAAAGTTTTGGTGTGAAAAGGCATGTTCATATTTAGGTATCGAATGAAATTACATATCTGATTTTGACCAATCAGAATCGAGCTTTTTCAGCGACAGGGAAGAATTTGTGTTCAGCGGGGAATACAGCCACACATTGTACTGGTGAATTCAGAGTGGTGCTATTTGTCGTGGCGACACCTCATGCCCTGGGTGAACACACAAGATCATTGAGCATGTGTCACTTGTCTGGGTCAGGAAAACCATTTGTGATTTTTCGTAAGTTTGATTATCGGGGTCGACGGTAATAAGAAAGACTGGAATTCATCTTTTTTCCACATTGCTGATTTTAAGGGTCGGCAGGTTGGGAAAGAAAGTAATAAAAAATATAATGCCTCATCCGAGCTTGGAATGTGGGGATTTTGCTCGTCACGATTCGTTAGTGACGTGGCCATGTCACGCGAGAGTGTCTCGTGGTCAGGCTCGGTGACTTGGTTGATTCAACGTCATCGAACCCAGACTGCTGTTTGTTGCTCAGTTAGTGATACCCCATTCATCAGACACCCCATTTGTCAGACAGTTTAAATTTTGTAGGTATGTCTTACCTGTTTCGATAGTGGATCAGTCCTAGATTTAAATAGACTGGTAGATATGTTTAAGAAGTAAAATCAGATAGAATATGTCATGTGTGCAAACAAAGATACAGAGGATGAATACCTTCTTGTACTTGTGTGTTATGCTTATTGCAATCGCGGGAGTGTGTATATACCCCCACAATACCACTGACATAAATTTAACTGTTTAATGCCTTAAAAAATCCCGAAACTGTAAATAATCTTGCAACTTGTGTAGATAAGTCAATGCAACCTAGGCAATCAATTGGGTGAACAATGTAAATCAATGTACCAATGTATATATTTTGTTACTCTCTCAAGCAATGATGTAACTGAAGAATGGGCTGATTGATTGATTGATCGATCGATCGATCGATCGATCGATTGATTGATTGATCGATCGATCGATCGATCATACTTAATCCCCTGAGTTGGAAAGATCAATTAACTAAGGACTAATTATTATTATTATTTACAGATTAAAATAAAATAAAAAATGCAGCAAAGAGGGTTTGGGTGATCCTGGCACTGTCAGGCTGTTTAGGCTCATCATCAGCTCAGGACCGTTGCCCCTTCTACACGCAGCCCAGACGGCGAATGGGACTTCTCCCAGGAAGCGCTGCCATGTCAAACCCACCCAGAAATTTTCGGAAAATGTGAAGACTCCCCAACACTGCAGCCTTCTGCATTACCCAGATTGTCAGAAGGTCTGTATTCCTGGTAGCAAACCCGGGTACTCTCCCGATGTCAGTCAACAGATTGGGAGGTACCAAACCTAAGGCACAGAGAACAATGGGGAGTCGGAAAACTTGCTACTTGGGATGCAAGCGTGACATTTCTAAAGTGAGGTCCGCATAATTGCCATGTTTTTTCTAAATCTTAGTGTCATAGGGGACAGAAAATCCAATGATATAAATGATTCATTGGATTTATCACAAAGGACAAGATCAGGTTTGCTGGTCTGGATACGTCTGAGACTGTAAATGGGCCTATTCCAAAGAATTGTGTACTTTCGATGACGCCCTCCAGATATTCTGGGTCGTACCATGGGTGGACCTCTGCGTCAAAACCACAAGTATGGCGAAGACGGTAATAAAATGATCGAGCTACACCATCATGTCGTTTAAGATACTGTGTTTGTGCCAAAGCTGGGCATCCACTCACAATGTATTGGACAGTCTCATTTAATTCATTACATAATCTACATTTCATATTTACATTTTGATGCAAAATCACACATTGACGGTTTCGAGTGGGAAGTGACTGATGCTGAACAGCAAACAGAAAGCCTTCTGTTTCACCTTTCAGGCCAGACGACTTCATCCAAGCAAAGGACTCTGCAGGATTGCTGATTTTCTCAACACACTACACATAAACTCGATGCAGTGGTCGCTCAGAAAGCCTCTCCTTGAAAAACTGAGCCTGTGTCAATTTGATATGGCACCTCGCTTGGTTGACACTCATTTCTGTACCGACCAGCAGTACAGAACCATCAATAACATCAACACCGACATTGAGATTATGTCCCACAACCTTGGCTCGTTTTAGAAAACTGTGGAATGCCTTGTTTTCATCATGAGTCTTGACATGCTTCACAAGAGGATCATCAGACAAATGAATGTGTGCGAAAGTGCACAAAACAATTCTATAATGAAGAGCCCCAACGTTAATCAAACCACGTCCTCCCATAATGATTGGTAAATATAAGCGATTGAGGGAAGAACGAGGGTGGTGGGATCTATCGTCTGACATGATTGTTCGTGTGAGGGTGTCAGTACCCTGAATTTCTTGTTTCGTCCAATCAACAACACCAAAAGAATACAAAAGGACCGGAACTTTGACTTTGTTGCGAGCGTTCAGCTCTGAACTTCAGATTTTCTTAAGTACATTTGTACTTTGCCCGAAGTTTTTCCTTGATATGGGCATTCTGGAGTTTGTCCCTAATCTGCATCCCTTAGAACGTATAGGCCTGACATTCCACGAGATTTATAATTATTATTATTATATATAAACAAGAAAATGAGTAACAATCATTATTAGATTCGAAATATTTATTACAACATATGTATAGTGGGACATATTATTATATATACACTATAACAGTATTATGTATATATCTCCTGTGGTGTACAATTTCATATTTCGTAGATAGACCTACTAATATTTACCTACAGGTTAAAAGGCGCAATACATACTGTAATAACAGAACGCTCATTCACACATAGATTAAAATGATGGACAGTTTAGAACACTTTAAATAGTATTCCGTTTGTTGCTGTGCTTGTTTTCCAAAAGCTTCCAGGTTTGGTGCACGGCCAGGCGTATGTTGTAATACATAAATACCGTTTTATATAAAATGAAACCCCGGTATTCCGGACGGTGTTGTTCCTTGTGAAATCATCCGGAATTACAAATGTGTTGGATTATTTTACAGGTGCATATGTAAGTAGACTGATATCAATAGAGAAGCTATGATCACATATGAAAACATTCAACATTCATAAAATGTCTGGTCTTGGTGTTAGTTATTCTTTGACTAAATAAAGGTTAATAAAAACACTTTCATCCCATGTTGTGTGAATAGTGGAATAAGTTAGATGTTTCCCGTCTCGCTACATGAAACCGCCATCGTTTTACTGCATGATACATTCTACAAGATACAGTAGCTGTGCTATTTCCTTCCTTATCTACATGGACTGTACAAATACACGTGAATACCTACATATAACATGGGTATTGTTGCAGTTTGTGAACATAAAAGGGAAGCATGTGTACAAACTTCCTATCGCCTCTTCCACCAGTCATGGTTCACATAATACACAGCAGGAATCCGCACCTATAACGATAACTCACCCGAATGTCTTTTGATGTCTATTAACACCAGTTAATAAATGTTTAAATCTCCGAGGATTGCTATATTTGATCTCAAAATATACGAGGGTAAAATACTACTTATCTTCCGAAATCATTGTTCCATTCATTTCGGTAGTAAACAGTGTCTTTAATGTAAAAAGTACAGCTATCGAGCTGAAGTGGCAGAAAGAGTTGTGATGTCATTCAATTGTGATGGCATGATAACGATGACGTCATAGTGGTCTGCAAAGCCTTGTGATATGGTTTGTTATCGCCCACGCGATAGCTCGTGTTAAAAAACAGTTTTGCATGATAAATATGCCTTTCAGTTGTATCTATTAAAAAAGTGTTTTCAAGGCCCTCTGTATCGTTGTGTGTCTCATCTCTTGACTGTCCTAAATAACTAGTCGTATTAAAAAATAACAAAATCTTCGTTTCTTCCGTCTTGCAAAGGAACTTTGGCCATTATGCTCTCAGCACCGATGCAACAAACGCTGCACTATAAATTATAGCGCAAGAAAGATGCAGACAGTTTTTGAACAACTTTTGGAAAATGTTCATTGCCCATCTTATAAGCAAGAATCCTGTTTTCACATATCTCAATATAACACACAACTTTCCGTCGTATTCTCAACCAAATATATCTGTCCCATTGATTTTTATATTTGTTTCGCTCTGTTGCTCACTCTGAAGTGTAGGGTGGAGATGTAAGCACACTGAATATTGGACGACCTAATAGGATTCGTGATTTATAGCTTCCTGTCCCTTCAACCCTTCAGGATGAATATTGCTTGGTTGTCCCCAAACGTTATCACTACCTTTCACAACAGAAGTGATATCACTGCGCGTGCTCTGTGGGGAGTTGCTGCCCGTGTGACTGATGGTGGAAGGACTGCAGCCTTTCTTCCGGCCCACGGGACACCTGCGTCTCTTTCCCATATTCCTTCGCCTCCCACAACACATTTTGTAAAGGGCCAGCCTGAAACGAACGCTGGTCCCCAAATAAACGGTGAAGTCGATGGCAGCATTGATCGACCAACCCAACGAAATGAACGATGGAAAGACCATGACGAGGTAATGTTCACGCTTAAAGGGGCGATAACCCGGATCGTTTTGTGTTAGGTTGCGGACCGCTATCAACGGAATGTAGACCATGAGAAAGAACCCCGATATGACGAACACGGTAATAATTAGTTTTTGTTGTTCAATATTATTGGAATTCGAAGTTTCGGCCATTAAGCGCTTCCTGTAGTTGCGGATTTTCTGGATCTGGACTATTATACATATGTTCACCACACAGATGAACACAGGAGGAAGATACGTAAACAGGATGTCGTATGTCATGTCGTAAACAGTCAGCACGGTGGCCATGACGCTTCCGTCTTCGTGCCTGACAGGAGTTAACCCCGTGAAGCTCATGTTCAATTCCTGATCAAATAGAGTCGCATATTCGAAGTTGGTGACTTTAGGGATGTGAAACACCAAGATGACGATACCCACTGTAAAGGATATGGATTTGGAATGGCGGGATAGGATAAAGTCTTTGACCTTGAGCGGCCGAAAAATGGCGATTAATCGGTCGAGTGAGAACAGCATGATGCAGTAAGCGCCTAGTTTACAGAATGCGATCTCGATCAGCTTATCTGGGTAGGGTATGATGGTGTTTTCTATATTCGTAGCTTCAACTGGGTCAAAATATCCATAGAACTTGACTGCCGAGCGGAGAAGTCCACACAGAAGATATCCCGAATCAGCGATGGACAATGCGGCTAGGTAGACGTAAAACCCGTGCCGTAAGGCTGGTTGAAGAAGTACACATATACCGATGACGTTTAACACAAGTCCTACCAGGCAGACGATTGGTTTGATGACGATGTCAAGCGTGATTTTTATTATTTTGTATTGTTGACGAGACACCAAGCCTCTGTCGATGAGAGGGGGTTCAGTTGGTTGAGTGGTGTTCGACTCTGGGTGTGTTCTTGAGACATTGACCTCAGCTGCATCATTGACATACGTGTCACGCTGGTCTTCGTTTTGTCTACTCGGTAAAGGAGACGGGTCTTGGCGTGGAACGTCTGTTGCTTCGCAACCGTGCATGAAAATGATTGCAATCAGAACCAAGGAAGCTAGATAGGCTGTCATGGTGGCCGCGTTGTGGGACTATGAAAATAGAACAGTATAATAACCGATATAATATAAATGTATGAGAACATGGATAAATGAATATGTCGTAAATAAATTATGTATCACGTATGGAATACTGTAAGGGACATTCTCGCGATCTCGCATTCTCGGCCAAATCTCGCGTGCCAAAGGTCGAGATCGCGAGAATGTCCCTTACAGTATTCCATAATCACGCAATGCAATCACGGGCGCGGTGAACCCTTTGTACTTACAGGGAGTTAGATAGTTATATATGAGCATAGTTTCACTGAGTAATGGAGTCAGAGCTTGAACAGTATACAGTTATAGACGTACAAAACGACAAACGACAAACCTAGAAACATAATCAGCGCGAATCTGGGAATTCAAACCCACCATCATAAGTTCCTGGCACGCATAAGGGACGCAACTCTGCACGGCGATTTCTGGTGCCTTACATCTCACATCTACGGAGGCTCTTACTCGGATGCTAACTTAGCCGAATTACCACTGCTACAATAGACCCACGTGCAAATAGACCGCTGCATCTGTCCTGAGTACCTTTTCCCAGGAAGTTTATTCAGATGTAATCTTGTATTTTTTTAATGTGAAGTTTGCGCGATATACGGCTTTTCCATTGGACGAGAAGTCGGTGACATGACCGCGAAATTGACGTTCACAAGTTTATGAATGACACAATTTGATGTTCATACGTTTATCAAGAGACTGTACTCTTGAAATGACGTTAACACTGACGGACAAGTTTCACGTTCATGGGGAATCCCCTAGGAATTCCATTGCAAAAATACACACATAAGCGTTGTAACTGATCATGTGGACCCTTTAATCTTGAACTCGGCGTTTTAACATACATTGAGAAAAGTCTGAGAGTTTGACTGAATGATCGTTCACGAATATCCTCGCTACGACTCATCCTAGTTAACAAAACGAAAAATGCCCTTGCAAACGTTCTTAGTATCGACATCCTCCGTGTCTTAACTCACAGTGACAGTCTACATAAATCTATGAATTTACCTTGGTATCTATTTGACACATCTTTATAATCACCTTTCAATTATCGGCCAACTGATCAATGATGACCAACATATGTAACTGCTATAGGTTCATAAACAACTTCGGAAATCTCTCCCGTCACGTGTATCGTGTCGGCCATTTTCACGTTTTGTACTTGATGTAAATGTATTATGACGCGCTGTCATTGTGACTGACTTACTGAGGGAGCTCTTAACAGTGAGTGTGTATGGTTTTACGCCACTTTTTGCAATATTCCAGCAACATCACGGCGGGGGACACCGGAAAATAGGGTCAAGCATTGTACCAATGTGGGGATACGAACTCGGGTCTTCGGCGTGACGAGCTATCGCTTTAACCACTAGGCTACACCACCGCCCCTAGCTCTTAACACACCAGCCCCGGCGGTCAATTCTTAAGTGTATACTCTCTGTATTACCCGCCGAAGTACAGCTGCCATGGCTTTATCAGGCATGGAGTCTAGGACCATGTTCTTTCAGTGGCCTTGGTGGTGTGGAGGAAATATACAATATCTGCCCCATCTCTTACAAAAATAAGTTTGTGTAAATCGTATCTACAGCTGTCCACCATCGACGAATATGACATTTAAGAAATAGATTGAGAAATATTGGGTCACATGACTCAGCTACAGTTTATCCCACGGCAGCCTCGGAGACTTAGAGAGACGTTAAACTAATGTAAGCAAGGTTGTTCGACGGACTGAACAGATGTTCATAACGCAAAACGCAACGCACAGTCGAGCATAATATAGAACACTTAACCGGGGCAGTATAAACCTTGGACTGCAGTGTGAGAGAAGGCATTCTTCGTGCATTGGTAATTTCTTGAAAGTTAATAGTCGTCTCAAAGGTGAGTTGAAATTGGGTTTAACGTCGCGTCCAAGATTATTGCACTTATATAGCGACGTGCATGCACGTGTGTGTGGCTGCTTGTACTAGTCCGGACTGATGCCGATTTTTAGTGCTTGCTCTCTGAGATACCATGCCGTACACAGACACAGTGACTGACTCCAAGCCGACCAGTCCTTGTTTTAGCCCCTTAATGCCGAGCGCCAGACAGGGTAACAACAAGTACCATCTTTTAACGTTTTTTGGTATGACGCGGCCGGGGATCGAACCCCGGACCTTCCGCTCTCCGGGCGGACACTCTACCACTAGACCACGGAGGCGGTCTTGTCTTGTGCATTACTTCGAACCATGGAAAATAACACAAGTCTAGAAAGCAGAGGTGTTATGCTTGGAAGGGCGGACGAAGTTTGTGCATACAATTTCAATCAATGAAAGCAAAGGAATCCACAGTTTTGACCACATCTGTATACAATTGTTTTTTAATGAAGGCTTGGGAATCCTCAAACTTATTAACATTAACATACATGTTTAATATATTAAAGAATATGAGTGAGTGAGTGAGTGATTGAGTACGGTTTTACGCCGCTTTTAGAAATATTCCAGCAATATCACGGCGGGAGACACCAAAAATGGGTTTCACACATTGTACCCATGTCGGTAATAGAACCCGGGTCTTCGGCGTGACGAGCGAACGCTTTAACCACTAGGCTACCCGACCGCCCTTAAAGAATATGAAAACCCATAACAACACTGACATAAAATTCTAATAAATGAAAGGATACGAATCCTCAAATAATCAATACCAACCTACAAACTCTTACAAAATGACGTTAATTCATGAAATACCGGATACACGTCGCACTTTGAACACAGACAAAAGAAATCATACCAGAAAACACAAGGGATGATGTTCAGTGATCCATTCATATAATTTTCACCGCCCTTTTGCACTTTACGCCTGAAGGAATATGTTCCCGCAGATAATCGCGACTGATAATTCTCTGGCATTGACGTGTTATATTTATAAAATCTGGAAACAAAGTATCTCTAATGATCACAAGAAAATATTTCACATCTGTTAAAATTAAGGAACTACAAACTGAAATGAAAGATAAAAGATGTCAGATTTTCCGCCAGGATCTGCAGCATCTGCAACACGACTAATACAGCTCCATACGGTGAAGATTCCGGGGTAGAATAGATCTTCATCAACCCATGCTTGCCGTAAAAGGTGACTATGCTTGTCGTAAAAGGCGACTAACGGGATCGGGTGGTCAGGCTCGCTGACCTGGTTGATGCATGTCATCGATCTCAATTGCGTGGATCGATGCTCATGATATCAATCACTGGATTGTCTGGTCCAGACTCGATTATTTACAGACCGCCGTCATATAGCTGGAATATTGCTGAGTGCGGCGTTAAACAAAAAAACAAACCAAACCAAACCATAAGGTCGATGATGAATAGTTTACAGCTCATTTATCGGACCTTCAAGCAAAATCGTCGTCATTACTACTCAACTCCAAATTGCCTAATCCTGATAACAATGTACAAATTTAAAATTGCTAAAATCGTTAGATATACGTCATTATGACATTTCTGTCTGAAAATAATAACAGTGTATGTAGTTATCTGTGAATATATGAGTGTCTGTCATGCCGTAAAAGAAGATTATAAACATGAGTAACTGCTAATATTAAACATTAACACCAGGGGACTACCAGCCCGCATTATCCGCCGATTCCATTGGGCGGGAAAGACAAAACAGCGGTAAAAGTTATATGAATGGATCACTGAAAATCAGTGATGACACCAGGTGTTCGCGAAAAGGGCAAGTATGTCCTGCCCTACCTGTAGGTAAAAATAACCTACGAAAATTAGAGGTACGTACTGAATCGTGTGGTATTTTTATTCTCTGCTCAGAGAAAAATAATAATAACAACAATATTATTATTATTATTATTACTACTACTACTACTACTACTACTATTACATTTTCATGTTCAACATTTTAATTACTCACTTTAGAGAAACCTAGAAACGATGCCGACTGACCTCAAGGTAGCGTACATAGAGAAACTCACCCTGCCTATAGGTGTACACAGAACTCCCTTCGGTAATATAACCGGAAACACATGTCTGCCTGCTAAAGTAGACTGGCCATTAACCACACGAAATCCAGGTAACCACATTCAATCTCGGCGAGATGAAACAATATGTTTATAGACGTCGGATGGATAAACGATCCGATTATAAGTACCATTCCATTAAATGAAAAATGGTAATTTGCGAAACAAGCTTCCGAACACAAGCGACATGGGAAACTAAGAGCCTGATAATGAAGAACAAATCCTGTATTAATTCCCGTATGGTCTGACTAGCACCAGACAAACTACACATTGTTCCTGTTCGTTGTTTGATGGCGGAATGGGCAGTTTACAGCGGGGATATATGGGTGACTTGCTGAACGAACATATATTAAGTTTTTCTCCCTACTTGTAAGCAGCACAATCACTGCCCTTGCCCAGCGGATGTAATTAAAAATTAACATGTCGGTTTTTGTTTCAGCAAAATCAATAAATGAGCTATCATGTTGCTGGATTATCTTGTCAAGACTATTGTTTACGTGCCGGTGCCGTACAACTGGGCGGCGTGAGGCAACAAACAAACACTTACTTTTTATTCGATAAAAATGAATTGTCCCGAAAATTCTTGGAGAAAATAAGTATGCTCCAGACTGTTGAAAAGAAAAGAAAATGTCTGTCACTAAAGTTACTTTGGAGAGAGGTGATATTCTTTAAATAAAAGTCAGGCTCAGAGTTTTAAAAAATTGCTGGTTTTGGTGCTGTAGCTATAAAATAAATCTAAATCCAAAACAAAATCCCACCTTTCCCACCTAGTTCGGCAAAGGTGGAAGCTGGACTTTTATAGTCAGTTATGGATAAGGAAAAGTTTTATTCCATACTGAAAGGCCTCAGGCCGATAGTACAATTCTGTTTTCGGGAGTGGTTACAGATCCGTTTAACAGGTCATATTCTAATTAACATAGCATGATAATTCCCTTGCCTTGCCCTTACACTTCTTTTTTGTGTGTACAAA